CTCCAGGCTGGGCCCTACGGGAACCTGCCCCCCCTCGCGGGAACCGCCGCCTGCCGGAGCGTCGGGGAGGAGCCGCCGCCGCCTCTGCCCACTGCGGAAGAGCCCGGGCCTCTGAGGGATGGGGAGCAGCCCGCGGCGCTGAGAGACCTGGTTCCTGTCACCTCTGGCTGCGGGGCCCCCTCCCCCTGCACTCGCGCTCGGCCCGGCGCCCAGAGCTTGGTGGGGGCGGCGAGGAGGATCAGAAGGGTCCCCGGGTCCCGGGACATGGAGCCGTGCGAGCCTGGCGCGGGACGGCCCGAGACGCGGCCGAGGCGGCGGCCGCCAGCGGCCGGCAGCCCCAGATAGAGAGCGGAGACGAGAGGGCCCGGCCCCGCCGCGGCGGCGGGGACTCGCAGGCCCCCGAGACTCCGGAGGAGGAGCCGACACCCATCCCCTAGCTGGTCCCGCCCGGGCCCCCTTCTCCGCGGCTCGCCGACTTCCCTTCGCGACCAAGTTGGCTCCTTGTGCCCGTGGAGGATTGAGCTCTAGCTCTAGAACGCGCCTGCTGGCAGACTTTCTCGGTTTGTTTTGGGAGATCACTGGTTTTGTTCCAATTCCCATCCCCTTTCCTTGACCCTTTCCCGTCGGACGTTCTAGATGACTGAATGGAGTTTTGAGTTGGACTTTTGTGTCCCCTACGGAGTCGGGCCTGATCCCAGAGCACGGGGGGTGGGGTGGAGGTGTTCCTGTAAAATGCAAGTTGGATAAAAGGAGGACCTCTCGCCAAGGGCCCCAATGAGTGGCACACAGTCTACTATCACCGACAGGTTGGTATGAAGCTCCCTGTTCGCTCTCTAGCCTCCCTGGGTTGGACCCGACCTCGCGGGAGTCTGGGGTTGCTCCTTGCTTTTGCGGGGTGAGGTGACAGGCTTTAGGAAAGGGGGTTGTTTTGGAGCTCTGCAGTTAGTCCAGGGTTGCTGCGGAGGCACCCGGTGGATTGAATATGAAAATGTAGCTTTTTTTAACCCCGCGAGAAACTTTGTTCGAGTGGAGGCTGGTCAGACCACCACTAAATTTTCTGTGCATTAGAATTCAGGATTTAATCTTGGAGCCAGAGGAAGGTCATTTTGGGTGAAGGTCAGTGCCAGAAGTTGGCTGGGTATTGGTGCTTCATCAGTTTTACTCCTGGCCGGTCTTTCTTTAGACACCGTTACATCTTAGGAATGTCTGCCGGTGAACTTCGTTTTGAGATTGCTGCGTGATGGCTTATGAACTTTATCTCTTTCAACTGTTGACCTGTGGAGTGTTTAATTATTGTCTAATAATTTTCCAGAATGTTGACATTAGTAGCATCCCAGGTGCTTGCTGAAGCAATATCAAGGAGCTTTAAAAATTATGAAGGGAAATCATGGGGCTTGATTTGTGTTACCGTCTTTTCAAAGTTCGTTTTCCAGAAACATTTGAGATACAAACCCGAAGGGAATTTGTAGTACAAATGAGGCCGGTAAATTTGCTCAGTTCTGAGAGTCACCTCTAGTGCTTATCCACGATGCCCAGTGGTATTTGGTGAATTGAGCTAGACCATTTGTGGTTTAAGTGGCGGAATCTTCGTCTTTCAAGTTATGGTCTTTCAAGTTAAGCGTTTGACTGCTAGGTTTAGCGATAAACACATGTTAAGTCCTCTACTACATTTTATTTCTCAAGTTAATTATGACATTTTCTCTTGGTCCCAAAGTTTATCTGGCTTATTGTTTTCTTTTTCAGTCGACTTTCAAACTGGTACGTCACTTTAAGAAAAAATTAAATAACTGAATTAGGGGGCCAAAAAAGCACTTTGATGAAAAGTGTAATGATACCACTCCAACATAAGTAGTTCGATTTCCTAATAAGAGTTTCACCTAATTGTAAGACTTATTTGTTGATTTTAAAAAGGCCAAATTCCATTATCATACCATAACAGCTACTCCAGAAACCCAACTTCCTCTTCCTGTTGATGCTTTCTACTGTCACGTGAATGTTTGCCTAAAAGATTCCATTAAGTATTTAAACTATATTTATTCTTTGTGTGTTTTTACATTGCCTTTTAAAATTTCAATCTAAGAATTTCCACCGTGTCTCAGCACACTTAACATGAGTAACAACTGTGCTCATCCTGATTTATTCTCAGTATCCCCATGCTTTTTCCTTTCAGTGAGTTTTGCTTCTGAGAAATCACTTTCATGGATGTATGGGTAATTGTTTTCCTCATTCATTCAGTTCTTGTCTTCTCTATTGAGTCTGTAGACAAGAAGTCTTAATAGGAATTAACATAGTATTGGTAGTTTTCATTGGATACAAGTGTTCAGTTTTGCAAAAACAAAACAAAAATATACAAAACCTATTTATAACTTAGGTGAGATGTAAGCATATAATACTTATATGTACTTATAATACATTTCAGGCACTGTGCTTGGCACAAAGGATTAAAAGAGTATTCTAAGGAAAATAAAATCTGTATATTGGTTCAGGTATTAATATCCTTGAATTGGTTTAGGAGCTGCCTGATTTTATATTTTAAAATAAACCCTTAGAAGCCATTTAATAAGTATTGCTGAAACAGTAGGAGCACCTGTGTCTTAGGTATTTACTATTTTTTTTTTACAAAAATTATTCTTAACCACTACTACTTTATTCTGTGTCTTACTGAGTAAATATCAAGCATTCATTTGTTCTTTAGGCAACTAGTTGATAAGATGTTGGGGTAAAATCTGGAGCTACTGGCTTAATATTTTTGTGTTAGGATGCCTTCACAGAGCTATGAGTATAGAATAGTTCTTTGCTTCTTAGCTCTGCCTATCCTCATCATTTTCACTTTCTCACTGTCTAACTCCAGTGTAGTATAGGTATATTTTGCTAATTCTATTGGCAAATTAACCATGCTGTTGGCAATTAACCATGCCATTGTAACTTTTTAAAGATCCTTTCAAGCTTGAAGTACTGTATGTGGTATGGCTTTGTTTTGTAGAGTGTGCAGGCCCATCAGCCCAGCTGTGTGAGTTAAGAGTACTTTCATTGTGGTGCTTCTGACTACAGAGTCTGTCTGTCTTCAGTTGAAATCAGACTAGCTGGTTTTGGGCGTTGTTCTGTTTTGCAGTTTGTGGCAGGCGACACATGGCTGAACAAGATAAGAAGGGTTTTATTCTTGTGTTAGGGACATGCTGGGGCTGGGATGGAATTCAGCTATGTTTAGGCTCTGATTGGTCACTTTGGATACTCAGAACTCTCTTATATCCTGTTATTATTTTGCAGTTAACACATTCATTTACTCTGCTCTTCATCTTCGAGTCTGTAGACTTCCCTTATTTGAATGGCATAGTCATCAGTTTAAAACCCACACTGTGTTGTTAGGAACTACTGGTATTTTTTGTTGTTGCATATCTGAACAACTTAAAAAAAAATCTGAGTGGTTTAGTCTCTTGCTTCCTAACTTCTGGGAGACCTGGAGTCTATGGTTTTCAGGACTTCAAAAGTGGTAGACATATTGGATTTTGGTTTTCAGTTTGTATTGATGTTGCATTCAGTCCTAAAATGTGCCCTATTTGTTTCCAGTCTAGATAACTGTCCTTTGAGAGTTTAGGGTGTTAGGACAATTGGGATTTCTTTCTGAGAGATGGAGGAGAGAATGCTCTCTCAGTGGAATCAAGTGAATTCATGCTAGATTCTGGAACAGTGAATTTTCAGGGATAACACTAGTAGGAGTTTGTTATAAAGATCTTCCTTGACATAAATGGACCTTTGTCTTATCTATGGTGTTATTTTTGATTTCTAGGTAAACCTAAGTTTTTTGATGTATTGGCATTTTCTTCACACCCAAGTTCAGCTTTAGCATGTTTAACTAATGCAAGATTTTAAAGGAGTGGAAAACCTATGACTTTATATGCACATACCCAGTAATTAGCATTTTCATTCATGATTCTTTTTCTGCCAACATTGCCTTCCTATAGTGCTTTTGATGAAAAAACTAAACCCTACTGTATATGTGCCATTTTCAAGGTTACTTGAGACAATTGCAAATCGAAATTGTAACATTTACTTGTGGAGTCATTCAATAAATACAAAATTGAATTGGTGATCTGTCAGGATCACAGTACCAGTTTTGTTTTCAATTTTATGTTGTCTTTTAGTTATTTCAGTATTAGAATCCCCATTTAGATATGTGTATAATTGTACATTCGCTTGGATAGTTTTCATGAGTCAATATGTACAGTCTGACAAGTAAAACTTTTAATAGTACAGGGCTGTATTCTGCTGGACTCATGACACACTGAGAAGATAGTCACATTTATTTCATTAAATGTTGAGGAGCTTTATTTGGAACCATTACAGAAGTAGGTTAACTTGGTATACTGTTTAACACATTGGTAGTTTCCAATTGTTAAAATGTAGCATAAAATATTGAATTAACAGGTAGGGATTTCTTCCCCCTCAGTTTGAATATTCACCCTAAAAATGAAATTTGAGAAAACATTGATGAAACCCATAAAAAGTCGATTTTGCATATTTTCCTATGGAGCATTGTGATTTCAGGAAAACAGTTGGAAAATCTTTACATAAACAAGTGTCTTCTAAAAGCCATTTAGAAATGGGTATGTATTGCCTGCCAAACTGCTGTGTGCCACAGACACAGGAATATATTTTAATGCTTTTCCAGAGGTAACTGGATTTACTTTTACATCATGATTATTTGACAAAGTTACTAGAAATGTTTCTTATGTAATTGATTATCTCCTAGAAATTGACCATGCTTCATATTCAGGAATGAGGAGCTTAAATTCATTCTGCCTCACCTCTTAAAACTTGGTTTTAAGCTCTTTAAAGCTTTATTTGAAAACTTGCTTCTTTCCCTTTTAATAGTTAAGTGTCTTTAAAATAATACCATTTTAACTGAAATTTAAAAATCAACAAAATCACAAGTATTTTATGTCCTTTTGAGTCAAATACCCTCATGTATGTAATAATATCCCATGGTAGTGTAATTTTTAAAATATTTACTATGTTTTTGATTTAGTATAGGTCAGGTCATCATTTATCCTTTCAGGTAAGTCATATATAGATAGCATAAATCAAGATTATAAGACTGGAAAGGATAGATCCTAGATTTCAACCTGGATTTTCAAGCTCTGAAGTATCCTGATTTTTCACTTTAAATTGTCTTTCTGTGTCATCATGTTTTTCTGTCCTGCTTTCCTTTAGTAACTTTCCAACCTGACCAAGTCAGAGTGGGGTTTTTCTTTTACAGGATGCTTTCCTGGTACCTTATCCATTCTAATTTTAAGTATCTCTAGAGAATAAAGCCCTCGTCACTTCCTCAGCAGACTGAACAACAATCTGATAGATCTTGTAGTCAGGAAGTTTTTCCTGTTCGTTAGCTCAGACTTTTAAGTTGTCCTTTTGCTTGTATATACTTGCTGTACCAGGCTTAAATAATGCTCTCCTCCTGTTTTTTGTTTATATGATTCTAAATTGTTCAGACAGTTATCCACCTCCTTTCCCCTCCCCTCACCCTTGTTCTTAGCTAAGTTCTGTGTTTTATGTTGATTTCATTGTCTAAAAATCACCCTGTCTTTCTTAATGTTTTATTCTCCCCCCAACTTCTCCCCCCTTACTTTCCTGTGCAAAATGATTTTTTCCTTAGTTGCTCTCCTAGTACAAAATGTCATACTCTGGTTTTCTATCTTTACCAGTGTTCTCTAGAGCAACAAGTTCTAACTTAACTTTTACTTAAATTCAGAAGGCAGTCAGTTTTCTCCAGGCACAGCTCAAAATTATCTATTGAGTCTCAAGATTT